AATTTTAACGAACATTAGGATCGCTGTTTATGTAAAATAATAAAATAAATGTAGCTCTCAAAGAAAACCAGACGTTGCGTAAAATTTATTTTTCCTACAACTTGCCTTACTTTGCCATGTTTGGGCCTAAATTCCTCGTTTTTATCACCTATTTTAGCTCTTTTTTAGCCTAAGATTTGCTCTTTTTTAATGAGCTTATTCATGCTTTGAACAAATTGCAACGAAAGTGTCAAATGCAGTTGCAGGGTAATCACAGTGTTGAATTTGATCAAAAACAACTATGCGATTTATTTCAGTCTTTTAGAATTGATTAGGAAACACAATTTTTAACAGAGAGATAAAGAAAGTGGTCATGAGATCATTACACTATCTCTATATCATTGTCAATACAACCCTATTCATTTGTAAATCCTACTATAACAAGCATAGAATTTTTCGGCCTCATTCAGATTTATAGTTTCTAGAATTTATAACTTAAGACTTTTTCCAAATGGGTACTTCAGAGATACGATATAATTTTAGTAAACATTGTACAAAACTTATGTCAGCTGATCGGAAAGAACACATGGGAAATTTGTCATTTGAGTAACATACCACCATTCATAATTTCATTCAAATTCAAATTGAGGAATTTGATTCAGAAACAAAATTAGAAAATGATGGTGCTGACTCAGATTTGTACAATGAAATAATGGATGCTGACTTTGAATAATAGAATAATAGAATTAAATTATTAGAAAGTGAAACCTCTTAATTGTTAAATGCACTTTGCCAGAGGATAGTCGTTTTTTCAAAATTAAAGTAAAATAGGTAAGATTTATTTACCTACTTTTAAATAGGTAGTAGATTCATCATCCTGAAAAGATTTTACACTTGCAGCGCAAATTCCAAGGGGATGCCGTCCGCAGACATACGGATAATATGAAATATGTTCAAACCAAATAACCAAAGGAAAAGAGTGTATTATTATCAGCGTACATGTTTAAGTTCGATTGTTTATACATCGAAAGAATGTCACGTAGAAATGTGTTTGATTTAAATGAGTTGTCTCCTCAAAACAGAGGACAAAATGATTAATTAACCCACAATGGAACAAAATATTTTAAATATGATTATTATTCTTATTTGATCATAATTAAATAAAGACGTAAGTATTCTCACATTTTCTAGAAAATGAGGTTTTTAATTTGATCAATAAAAATTGGTCGAAGGCTGTAAGTATAATCCCACAAATCCAGCTCTTTAAAAAAATTATAAAATTTGATTTTACGATTTTCGTTTTGTAATAACTTCTGTAAAGTAAACACCAGCGACATAAATAACTCCCCTTGTCCTTCAGCACTAATTAGCAGCAATTTGACGCTCAAGTGATTATTTATGTTTGTACATCGAAAGAATGTCACGTAGAGATTAGTTTGATTTGAATGAGTTTGTCTTCTCAAAACAGAGAACTTCAGTTATTAATTAAACCACAATCGAACAAAATGTTATGAACATTATAATTCTTATTTTATCATTACTAGATAAAGACATGTGTATTCTCAAATTCTCGAGAAAATAGGGTAACTGAGTCGTTTTTAATTTGACCAATAAAAAAATTGTGATGTCGCCATCAATACAGTGCAAAAAAAAGGAAAGGGCCAAATTTGGCATCGAACCAACAACGGTATGTCGCCGGTTTGCCGAGAAAACCGCCGAGCCACTGAGTCACGAACGCTTCCACTCGTGTTGGTAGTATAACGTTATTATACCGTGCAATTGTTTTTGCAAAAATTTTAAAGTTAAGCGAAAAGTATACATAGCAGTACATTTTTGTATAACATTTAACTCACTTTACGATACGGTTCATTGAGATGACGTAATCAAATTGTTGGTGGGCATGATTAGCCAAATTTTGGCTAACATTTAACCATCTACATGATATTTCTAACATACATACAAAATTTGACAACAATCGGCCCAGCAGTTTCGGAGATGCTGTCTAATAAAAATGGAGACAGACAGACAGACAGACAGACAGACGGAAACGGGAGACTACTTTTTTCGTACTGTAGAGGTCATGAAACGTCGAGAAAACATAAAAGTGGCAATTCGTCCGATGGACTCGATTACTATACTTCCTTAGGTTACGCTCGGGAAGTAAAAATGTATGATTCTTTTGAAAATATACTGGAGAATTATGGAACAACTTTTAATCAACAAAAGTCGCCAAATTTTGTGTTAATAATTGGTTATTTAAAAAATATATTTCTACATTTTAATAAATATTCAGTAAATTTATCAAGTTCTGAATGTTTAATTAATTAGTTCAATAATAATGTTTCTTGATGATATTTAAGTTGGCTGCAATGATTAGGTTTCTGACACAATTCATAACCTTAAATAGGTGACAACCCAAATCGACATTAGGAGTCAGTCTTTCTCAAGAAACTTTATATCGTATATGCATTATACCTATTGACTAGTTTCAGGACGCAATAAGTAGTTGTTTAACTAATTCAAAGCAATGAATAATAATCATTATCGAATACACATTATCTGTAGAATGTTTATTTATAAATACTTGTCACATCCTACTATAAACACTATCTGTGTTTTGCCGCCTTTATTAAAGTACAAACTAGTTGTTTGTTTAAAGTTAGAACAAATGGTCAACATACTATAGTGTAAATTAATCTTGTAAAGAAGAAATGTTTTGAAATATTGTGTTGAAAGCTATGTATGTTTTATAAAAACTGAGCAGTTCTGGCCATTAGAATAAAAGATTGTTTTAACTATTAATTTTCTCCCAAGCGTTAAGGAAATATTGTAATCGAGTCTGTCTGTCTGTCTGTCGTCTGTCCGGATTTTTATTAGACAAATAATCTTCAAAACCACTGGACCGATTGTTGTCAAATTTTTTATGCATATTAGATGGTAAAACTAAAATAAAAATTAGCTAGTCATCCCCACTAACAGTTTGATGACGTCATCTCGAAACTTTACAGTAGTACAGTTGCTTTTATTTTTATAAAATAATATACTCCTGCACTTGTGTTGTGTGAATCCGTGTTCAGTTTTAACCCTAGACGTCCAGATTTTTGAAAAAAAAATCAAAATTTTATAACAGTTTAACGTGGAAATTGCAAAACCGAATGCTTTGAAATCTCTCCGTCTATCTGTCGTCTGCGTTGATTTTTATTAGACAGATAATTTCTAGAACTACTGGACCGATTGGTCTCAAATTTTATGTCAGGAATATCGTGACATGGTAAAACGCTAACCAAAAGTTGTCTAATGATCCCCATCAACAATGGGATAACTTCATCTCCGAAATTTGCAATAGTAATTGTTGTTTAAATTTTACAGAATAAGATACTCCTGCGCTTACGGTTGATTTCATTTTGTGTTGTCAGCCTAGATATCCAGATTTTGGGAAAAAAGTAGGAAAATCATAAAACATTTTATCCCCTCCCAAAAGATTGATGACGTCATTTCGAAATTTTGTCGAATAAATCCTCTGAAATACGCAAAATATTAGGACTCTACACTTGTGAGTATTAATAACACCAAACTTCAACCAGTGGTGTCAATGATGTCAGAAAAGAGATTAGGGAGACGTGTTAGAGGAATTGAAAAGTATGGAATTTAAAAAATTAGATTAGTGAGGCCGCGGGATTAGGGAAGATTCAAGAGAACAAGAGATTCTAAAAGAGGCTCTAATACAGAACTGAAGTTCTAGAAAGAAGATAATTGAAGAGTGTTCTTGATCTCGATCACCAAGAAAGTGCTGAAGAGAGTTTCCAGATGACAAAACTGATTCTATTCGCTACACAGATGAAAAAAATGTTGAAGAATCGTCACGATTTGCTGTAAAAACGAAAAGCAAAAATTCTAATTTAAACAATAGAAACCATTTACAATGCTAAAGAAGAGTAAGACGACTAAATCCGCAAGAAATGAACAAAATTAAGTGTTTTCATGAAAGTGGGGTTGAAGTATGAAAAATAGAGGACGCATAAAAAGGAGTAATAAGAAAAAAATCAATCGATAAAAATGAGACTTGGGAAGACATCAGTGGATGGAATAGAACTGTTGGTAGACAACGGCGTCGAAAACAACGCAGTATATTATAAAGGGTTCTGTACAGCAGAGCAAAAACGATATCATTTAAACTGGTAAGTGGTAGTAGACTCGAAAAGAAGAGGGCTGTGGCTAAAAAAAATATATTATATCAGGGTTGTACTTGTTAATATTGGATTTTTAAAGTAAAATCCCCTCAGATCTCATTAGCATTATCAACCAACATTTTTTTTACAGTTTTTTGATCATGATTGTACAAAACTTGTATTATAATATTGAATGAATAATTTAATTTGTATTTTTAAATTATTTATTTGACATATTAATCAATACCAAATTTATATTTTATTAACGAGGTCCAAATCTATATATTTCCTCCTATCTTTTACAAACAAACAAAAATTAAACTAATATAATTTTCACACACGTTTTATATGCTTGTATTCAAAAAGAAACAGAATTTGAAAATCAATGTTGCTCGACCTAGTTTAAAAATCCAGTTTACAGGTCAACAGGTTGCTAAATGTATAGCAAAGTTAATATCTGTAAATTGGTTTAAAACTGTTTCCATTAAAGCACTCCACACGTTTACTTTTGTTTGTACTTTTCGAAATAAAAAGTTAATTGAACTCAAATAAACATCGCTTCATTGTAACTTCACAGTCAGTCTCATGCTAATCCAGTTCACTAATTCATACAAAACTAGTTGTCAAACACACAACCGCACCACCAAAACAAAACATTTCAATCGAACAAAAGTACAAAAGGCCGTCAAATAACTCCAGCATTTCTTTGTTTACTAATCCACATTGCCTTAATGAAAAAAGTGCTCATATTTACATGAACGTCTTATTTCCGCAAAACAGCCTCAAGCTCCTCCAAATAACTCCAACCCCGCTGTTTACCATCCCAATAAAAATAAACAAGCCCCAACTTACCCCTAAACTCAACTTTGGCCAACTTCTCTCCTTTGGTCCTCGCTATCTTGAATTGCTTTAGTTTGACGGAGAGCGACATCACGCGCGTTTTTTTCCCGACACACGACTCGACCCCGTCGAGGGCACAACGGGACTTGTTGCAGTCCTGCTGCTACCAGCAGGAAAACGGGACGTCGCGCAGGACCTCAGCGGGTGCCTGCGTATTATTAATACGGTCGTCAGGCCGAAGACAAAAATGCCAATTTTCATGAAGTGTTTGCGTTAGGTTGTTTACGTATGAACCCGGTGGGGTGGAAAGGGCTGATTTAATTATAAAGCTGTTATTCGGAAATTTGTTTTGGAAAAATCTGCGGGGAAAGACATGATCTATCCTCATTAAAGGATTAGTGGGTCAAGTATGTGTAACAGCTCTTGGAACGAAAATTACACGAGAAACCAGCCTTATTTTCTGAAAGCATGTGCTTTGAGTTCGTTTAAATGCAAATTTTGCAAAAGAAAAACGTAACGTGATTAATTCAACTTGTGATCTAGAAGGATTTTTTATGTGTTTGTAATACCACCCATGCATAACCATGAAGCACGCTAATTCCGATATAAATTACGAACGGATTTAGATTTGAATTTTGTTAACGTTTTCTGGATTTATTTTAAAATTTAAGAGACACAGTTGGTGGCCAATTGCTGGAAAATGGTACAAATTTCGCACCAATATTTTTCCTCTGGCTCTCCAAAAGGCGTATGCAACAACGAAATTGAGTTTTTAATTTGACGTAAAAATTCTCTCTGTGAAAAACTCCAATACGGCTTGGTGGTAAGCTGTTTTTTCGTTTATAACACAACGGGGATCTGGATTTTATTGGCAATTTTTGTCGCTCAGTAATTCTTGCGACGAAAATTAAACGTGTGCAAAGAATGAGTCTGATTTCTTTTAGCAGGAGTTGGGGGTAAAGTGCGAGAAGCAGGAGTTATACTATCCTCAAACATATTTGGCGTTTATGACTTCACACCAATTTGACTCCCATTATAATTCAATAGGCCGTCACAACCGGATGTCTTAAACCCGCTCACCGATACCTACCTGAAAAGACCTTTTCTGGTAAAAGCACAGGGCAGGACTGAGTTTTGCATTTACCGACAACTGCGCTTTTCGAGTTTTTTATTTTAAGTAAAAACAAAGTAACTTTGTACTCAATCATTTTTTATTACAGCACAACTATTTACTTATTAACTTCTACTGCTTATTTATTGATCGAAATAGTCACTGTCATCATCACTCGACTCTTCTAAATTAATAATTAACGGTGTTATCAACCGTGCCCTGTACTGGTCTTCTTCTTTTGTGGAATGTCGTACACAATTAGCCCACATTTCGGCAGTTATTTTGGAAGCTTTTTCCCTAATTATGTCAATTGTTGCACTACTAAATTTTGGTGCCGTATTATTCCTTCTTATATTATTTTTCATTTGCGACCAGATTAGTTCGATGGGGTTAAATATACAAATATACGGCGGAAGTCTAATCACCCTAAATCCACGATCTCGCGCCATAGCATCTATTTTATATTGTTTCTCAAATTTTCGAGTGTGTAACACTTCTAATAATCGTGTCTTTGTGTAATTTTCTTCAAAGTATAAATCATGTTCTGTAAGGAAATTTTGAAATTTGAAAATTTTAACAAACAAAATTACTCTGAGTCCGGTCCTTCGCGTCTCGACCGTCCCTGGCACGTCGAAAAGGTCTTTTCAGGTAGGTATCGGTGAGCGGGTTTAAGACATCCGGTTGTGACGGCCTATTGAATTATAATGGGAGTCAAATTGTTGTGAAGTCATAAACGCCAAATATGTTTGAGGATAGTATACTAGACTTAATTCAACAAGAGAATGTTAATGCTGGGACAAACCATCAAACATTTTTAAAAACGGTGTTTTATTATTTCTGTTTCCTGAATGTAAACTAGGAAAGTACTATATGTAATACCGTTAATTTGACGAATGATTAATTTTATTTTAAACTAGCTTTTACCCGCGGCTTCGCTCGCATTTAAGTCATTAAATAAGTATCAGAGATCATTTCAATAGAAATGAATCAATATGATTAAAAATATAGAAAAATAAATATAGAAAAATTCCAAACAGCTGAAACTGTAGTCAAAGTACTTATCCTATGTTACTTCTAGTACCTCCAAAAATATGTGTACAAAGTTTCATGATAATCGGTTAAGTAGTTGTTGCGTGAACAGGTAACAAACTCACATTCACATTTATAATATTAGTATGATTTGAAATAATTTTAATGTAGAAGGTTTTGAGATGACGTCAACAGATTTTTAGCGCGGATGATTAGCCACATTTTGGTTATCGTTTTACCATCTGCACGACATTCCTGACACACATGACAATCTGACAACAATCGGTCCAGTAGCTTCGGATTATATGTCTAATAAAAATCCACACAGACAAACGACAACCATACGGAAACGCGAAACTTATGTTTTTATACTCTAAAGGTCATGAAAGGTGGACGTCAGTTGATGATTTTAAAATCCATGTCTACGACATAATAATAATATTTTTAATAATTTTTAAGTGTCGGTCTCGCTGAAAATAAAACTATTTCTGTAAATTATTAAAAATGATGCACAATTGGAAAGCGAGAAGCGAGTAAGGCAAGGATGCACGGCAGCACTTCAGACGGGTAGAAAGGATGAATAAATTTTGACCGCCCAGCTTTATTTATAAACAACCACGTCATAAACACTTAGCAATTTGACGTTTCCGGGCTATCGTGGCAAAGCATAGCAAAACGCATCTGTGCGTGATATTCGACGTCCCGCATGCTGTTGAATGCGCCAAGGTTATCAAAAAAGGTTATGAGTGCAAAAAAAATATTTTTTGTACACGCTCCCAAAAATGGTTATTTTAGGGATTCAAAAGTGTCCGTAAAATGAGTCTTTTTCGTACTAGTGCCATGGCAACTTTTTGGGACTGAATAGTAAAAACTATAAAAACAATAATTAAATAACCACATTTATTCTAAAGGAGTAGATACAACAATACAATATTTATTTCTCAAAATGAAAATGGAATGAACAGTTTTGAGCTCCCTGAAAACTGTTGTGTCCAAACGAAATACCTGAGGAGCTTGAAGGTATCAGGCTGATGTCTCTTGATGTCGTGGAAGTAGCTTCAGTAGTAACTAATAGTGTGTTAGTCGATGGTTCGTTTTGCTTTTCTCCCAATAACTGTCTGCATATCTTCTTCTTCCTTTCAACAGATTCTTCTATACATATATGATTCTGCGACAGAAGACGACCTAAAGTTTGTTACTATTTAGAAGAAAACAATAATTATATTGCAAAAAAATTACTTCCATCCTCCTAGCCGTTTCAGGGAGATTAAATCAACATCACTATCAGCCGCCAGAGATGCAGAACTTCGTCGGAAGCAATGCCCTGTATATTCCTTGGGATTGTTCAGGTTAAGAAATTCAGCAACAACCGAGGGCATTTTCGCAAAAGAATGAATTCCTACACGTTGGACAGTGCATTTTCCATTCCAAAAAATAATCGTGTTGAACTGTCTCGGGCCGTAATCGTAAAAACTTCTGGTATAATTCCAGGCCATTGACAGCTTTGCCTTTAGCTATCACTGGAAAGACTCTCTTAATGTTGCTCTTAGTATCAGGAATTGTTATAATTAGACATTCTTCGTCTTTTTGAACAATATCTTGAATTTTTAGTGAATGTAGCTCCTCACGCCTACATGCACCACACACACCAAAAAGAAGGGCAACCTACAAAATGAAAAATAAATTTATCTGATACATAGAATATTTTTTAAACTTACCTTTATTAATAAATATTTCATATCGTCTGCATTTGTCAAAAATGTGTCAATTTCTTGACGTGTCAAAACTTTTGACTTCGTGGGCTCGTATCCTACTGAATTTCTCTTTAAAAACGCAATGACTGTGGAAAACTTGTTTATTTCAATATTTTCTTTGACAGACAAAACAGGTTTAATCATTGAATATTTTGACCAGAGAGTTGAGAGTGGATGGTTTTACTTCTTGTGACTGTAACAAAATACGGAAATTGTCACGATAATCATGTGTAAGGCTTATAAATATTGAACATAAAGGCGGCACTTACCTTTTCATGAAGATAATTTAACATTACATCTTCATCTACTACTACAATTTTTTTCTCTTCTTTCCATCGTAGGAATATTTGATATTCCTTTTTGTACATTTGCCGAGACTTCGCTGGAAGTAAATCCAGTACGATTTCTTTTGCTTTTTCCGTAATATGTGCGGGATTCTGCATTTTGTGCAAAAAAATGTCAGGTCTTTTCGTGTTTACAAAACACTGTAGTTACTATGGTGGCAGCCCACTAGCCCACTTTTCAATAAATATTTGCTTCGTTTGTCAAAATTAGTCGTTTTTATAAATGGTTTTTAAGGTGTTTTGGGAGCTTGAACAAAAAAATATTGTTTGTAACACGTACCTAAAACGTTTTTTGGGACTCATTTGCTATTCCGGACTCGCCTTCGGCTCGTCCGGAAACAGCAAAATTAACTATTACAGCACATTATCAACGGGAGTACATTACATCAGAAGAATGTCACGTAGACATTTGTTTGATTTGAATGAGTTTATCGCCCTAAAACAGATGACTAAAATTATTCATAAGCCTCCATTGAACAAAATATTCTGAATGTTATTATTAGAATTCTTACCTCATCATTATTTTATTGTTAGAAAGACGAGCGTATTCTCACATTTTCCAGAAAATAGGGTAGCTCGTTCTTAATTTGATCAATAATAAATTGACTGATTCATTTTTTTTTTTTGAGTCACCTGTTTAAGCAAATCTAAAAAATATTTATGCAGTGATAAGTCACACTTTTAGACTCATCATACTTTGCACAATGCACATTTAAGATACCATTTTTTCGGAAAAATTTTGGGGTGCTGATCAATTTTTTAGGGGGGGGATGAGCAAATATATTTTGATCAAAAATTTACCATGCCTATGATAAATTTAAAACATCTCCAAAATTTCAAAGAATTTGGTTTTGTACTTCCTGATTAAATCAATAAAATAAATTTA